GCATGTCCTCTTATTGACACATTCTAATCAACCAATCAGCGCGCGAGAATTGAAAGAAAACACAGGTGTGGTAAAAAATATTTTTATATTCTTGTTMTAAATTCACATTKTACACTTGACGCTTGTTTTATCTTTAAAACCGTAGCGTGATATGTTCATTTTGTCTCTGTGCAGACAATCATTTATTGAAAAGATAGCTGTCTGCACGCAATAATTAGTTATCWGGCAGCCTGGAGTTCAATAAATTGTTATAAGTAATTACATTCGTGCGCTTATGTGAYGTATAAAGTTATAATTTTGCAGCCTTAGATGATTGAGGCTTGCTCCAACTCTCTCWATTTAATGTCGASAAACGACGAAAGTTCTCGAATGACTATTCGAAGAGTTCACACTAAGGCGGTGGTGAGAAAGACAATGGAAATTGCAATGTTCGTATCATCAATTTTCATTGAATTTGGCTTTAGGGAAACGTACTCAAATTTCAATACTTTTCGCACACATGCAAGCTTTAATWTATTCTCTAGTTTTATGACATGATACATTAACTGATCGAAAAGGCTTGCCTTGCTTATGCTTCGCAGAATCAGATTTTACAAGCGGTTTTCTTAGGGTCGACTTCGGCAACTCTTTAAAGCTTCGACATCGGTCGATAATGAACCCAACRAAGAGAAGTCTATAGATTCTCTTGAATTCCTATCCTGTATAAATTTGCACTTTAATATATGAACAGTACGGATAATAATCAGCTTTATATATGTTTCATGTTATAGTTTAATGTGAACAGCGCCTTTCCAATGTTCCAATGGCACGTGTTTTGGTATAACATCTATACACTTTTTGCACTGGATTCTCTAATGTCCCTATAGATTTTTAAAAGKGACTTGCTATTTCTCCACTAAAACACACCTGACATTCTAGACCCATCAGTACACGAACAGAAATTGAATCATTTTCATATTTTGTCATCTTTGTGACTTAAACGCGGTTGGTAACGAATTTCATTACTTAATGTCATGCAATAACAACGAAATGGTTATTGTAAGAAAAGCTTTCTTGGAAAGCCTTTATAACATGAATAACTGTTTCAAAACCTTCACAGGTTTTGATTGCTTATTCTTATACATATTGTCAATGAAAGATGACTCTATTGTAAAAATAACTGCTAAGTATTGTTTTAATGTTCTAAATCTGTACAATTACTTAGTCAGCTTGTATACCTTGTTTTTTAAAGTTAAATTTTATGTTCTAATGTACCTTTTTTTGGTATTTATGGAATAAAGAATTATTCTCAATATTAAAGTCACATGGCAATTGGACCATTGGAAATGGCTTATTATATTAGATGGACAAACTCTTCAAGATCGAATGTATTTAATAAATTGAGCACGGTTTTGAGTTGTAAGTCTGAAAAATGAGCTAAAATCATTATTTTCTTTCAACTGAGCACGTACGAGGCGTGATGTTGTCAGCACAGTGTGCATGTCCTCTATTGACACACTCTAATCAGCCAATCAGCACATGAGAATTTGTGTGATAAAAATTTACATAGATACTTTTTAAATTTTCAGAATATTTTTTCAAAACCGTTTATTTGTTGTTGTTTTTTCTTTTCCTTCTGTTATCTTATGTGTTGAAATATATATTGTATTTTATTTAATATATTTCCTTCTGGATGGTACTAGGTCGCAAGCAGTTGCTGTGAGATCTCTATATGTAAATGATTACATTTTGTATACTTATTTTCACTGTAAAATCCCTCTGTTAGTTTAGGTGTTGGAATATGTGTTGTATTTAATATATGTTCTTCTTGATGGTACTAGGTTGCCAACAGTTKCTGTGAGATCTCTACTATATGTAAATGATTACSTTTTGTAGTCTTATTTTCACCGTTAAGTCGTCTTTCCTCTAGATCAGAATACCCTAACTRTATAAAACACATYCTAAAAAGATTTTAAAATYGCTAGCAGATGGATTCATAGTCTTTTATGCTTGAWAATGAAAACAGACGTTTTTTCTTCTAATTTCTCGCGAGTAAAATGGACCAAAACATCTGTTCTTTATTTTCTTATCAAGCCCAGGGCTGAATAAAAATATACTATAGCCAGAGGCCATTACTAGGAGCGTCCATGTCCTTAAACAGGGTCACGGCCTTTTCATAGACGTGTCTATTGTTGATTTTTCTTCAGTGGACTCTACAGTAAAAGACTCTTCGCTATCCATTTACAGAAAGACTAGATTTCACTATCGTCCGCCATGTTTGTTCATTATTTTATTTTGGTTTCCCGTGGACTTTCCGCGAGCGCGAAATATTGAGACTGACTGCTCATTGGTCAGAAATAAAATATTAGAAATAGATACGCATACGACTTAGCTTCCTTCCCAGGCAACTATTTTTTCCTTCTTTGGGCTTCCTTTGTAACGGTCATAATGGCTGTTAGGGACTAGTGAAGAAAGACCATTCTCTCTCTTTTGACTCCCAAAAAAGACAGGAAGCCCGTGATTCTTTGTGATGCCTGCGGAGGAGGCTACATACGGCTATCATCATGAACCATTCCCTTAATGGGCTCCTCCTAAAACGAATTGTATATAAATGGGCATCACATACGAAATGTAGAGGTAATTATGTCTGAGGAACTCAAACATAGCAATAGATCTTGAAACAACAACTTGTTACATATTGGTTTTAGAATCGTTTTGGCATTACAACCTTATTTCATTTGAATTATTCTTGAACTGTTGCCGCCCAGTTAAATAGCCATTTCATACTTTTAAACCCGTGAAACAAACTATGACTATTACAGTTTGACAGTCAAATTGACACAAGAGAAAACAATGAAGTTCGGGCGTAATAAGGTGTATTAGTGTAATATCTTTTTCAATGTTTTTTTTGCTGTAGTTAACACTGTTACGGGTGATGTACCCATCTATTTTACTACCCTTCTACTTAGATTATAATGATAAAAACTTGAATTTCTTGCCAATATTCAAATCAAACTACTGCCTATTGAGTCATAACCCTGAATGTTTAGAACCGCATTGTTATCACATGGGTAAATCAAGGTACCATATACATGRGGTACATTTCCTTCRAGGGCTCTATATTGAGGTGGGTCGTGAGAAACAGGTGCTTCAAGTACGTTATAGATTGGACCATTATTTGTAAGTCCATCATTGGGATCTTCGAGAGTGTGGTAGAAAACGCTGTTTCCTTGTTCTTTGGGCAYTTTAGTTTTCTCTGTCATGTAAGGTTTTGCGTAGACGGGGACTTCTGKAGTGTTATTATTTGAGTTGTGTTGGACATTCTTTTCAGCCAATCCATAAATGCGGTTATCGACCGAATCATTATCCCCTAATGTTAAGATAAGAATCATTTATKTTAAGATGACACTACTATTTTTCATGCAATATCTATAGCTTCAGAAGAATAAAAATTTCTTTATTATTTCTTTCATGTCTTATCAAATAAGTGCACATATTTCTAATTAAGATGTGGCAGGGTGCATATATCAGTGCACTTTGAATAGCAATGTTGCATTGATTATTTATAAATAGCTTTTTACCTGTAGTAGTCTTCGCTATCCTTTGTCTGCAACTCAATTTTGAAGTAACATTATTTGTAAGCTAGNAAGCATTCCTCATTAGTTTCTCTTGTTCATTTATCCAACATGGCGGTGATATCTTTGTTTTTTATTTCTCAGGGGATTCCTGTGTAGTGTTCACGTTTAGAATCACTCGGCATCAGTGATGTTGTAAACTCGCGTGCAACGGTAGTTATGCAACGTAAGATTGACCATCCTTGGGAACCCAAGGGTAATTTTCTGTCGTTCGTTCCTCGCTCCCAGAAAAACTAATACCCCTGCGCACGAAGCCTGTTAGACCTTGTTCTCGATTTGAAATTCAAAATGACGGCCGGTAATTTCTGATTGGTCGAGTGATTAACTGGAAATTTCTGATTGGTTGATTAATTTACCGGCCGCCATTTTGAATTTCGAATCGAGGACAAGGTACAACAGACTTCGTGACCAGGCCTAGGTTAATTTTTCTGTGAGTGAGAAAAGAACGACCCCTGGATTCCCGAGGATGAAGATTGCAGCTTTGAATCAGTAATTAACCAACCATCGAAGACACAACATCCCGGACATGTAGTTACAACCCAAGAAATTTGCACTAAATATGAAAATGAAGCGGTATATATAATTTGAATCTCCATTGCTCTTTATGAACACCATTAGCTAAATTGCACAAAATAGTTGAGTTTCGCAATCTCTTTTACATTGTATTAGCTTTAATTGTGTGTAAACATTTAGATAAAGCTCGTGACTATTTCATTATCTTCTATATCACAGATCTTTTTGCATACGAAACAAGTCATTAAACCCGCGAGGTAAAACTTGACAAAACTAGTCCCATCGGATTACCGTGATCATTAGATTTGACGAGATGCTGAACATATTTCCTGCAGAAAATTTCGACCAAGAGCCATTACATTCCAGGAATTCACTTTCTGTGTAGAACCAACAGAATCGAGGGACCAGGAAGCGGGATGCATTGTATTCTATGGTCACTTGTGGATTTAGTGGAATAGTGAAGATATTCACAGCATTTTCCCTGTAGATTGTAACATTCATTGGGCATTCTAAAGGAATAATAGAAAAAACGTCGTTATGCTATACAAATCACTTACATAATGTAATGCAACAAACGAATGCATAGCTTCAGTTATATAGACTTAAAATGCAATTATTGCTGCTTTAATTAGCTTTAGTACATGTTTAGTATGTGCTGTGCTGTGCTGTGCTGTGCTGTGCTGTGCTGTGCTGTGCTGTGCTGTGCTGTGCTGTGCTGTGCTGTGCTTATATTCATTAATTGTTCGAGTTGCTCGTTAAGTTCTTACTTGTTAAGTGTTTTACTTGAGTATTTTCCATACACTTCCAGATTCCTTCAAAGTAAATCAGTATCTTAGATGGGTCGTCACACTCGCACGTACATGGTGAAGCCTTACGAGCTCCAATCGCAGAGCAATWGGAATCCATTTTTTYACACTGCGACTGAGGTAACTTCAACCTATCGGGTAATGTGGTCCATTTATTGTGGTCAATTTGACGCTGTATGGTCAACCCATATGTGGCCGTTTCAAAGGTGATTATGGCTATGATAATAGTAATCACCATATTGAGTTTGATGTTCAATTGTAGATTTTAAGAATAGAAGCTTTTCTGGAAAAAAAAATATAAAGGAAGATTATTTTTGATAATCTAAAATATTATGCAGTGCTGAATTTAAACATCAATAACTGTTATTGCAGTTATATGCAAATTATTTTGAGCAATTGGTTATAGTCTAGGCTTTCGTTCTGTTATTATTCAACAAAACTATAACTGAACCATCTAGGAATTATCAATTATTAGTAAAAGCTAAAATTTCAATAATTGAATATTTAGAATAGCGATTTAAAAAAGAGAAGCCAACATCAATAATTGGATTGACTTCACCAATTTCATTAAGTTTCATCCTTCAACAAAATACTTTTTTTAATATATCACTACGATAGTTTAGAATGAAAGTGATTCACTCTAAACTCACTACATATGTGAAATAAAATTTACCAGCTGTTACTATTAAGAAAACAATTCATTTCTTTCCATTGTATATGTTGTACGGTCTAATAACAACCACTTCGCTGAGACAATTGTTAAAATTGAAAACAGCCAAGCGAATAGTTATGGTTGATATAGAAGTAACAATGACCAAAAGTAGTATATTAAAGGCTGCTGAATGTACCTACATTTTGATTATCTAATTCCTTAAGATAATCWACAGCKAGTTGTTCGATGGCAAAGAGAGCAGCTCTTTTGCTCGCATGAAACCACAAAAGTTTCCGCTTTGACTTTCGATTTRACAGGGCTCAAGATCAAACTTCAAGTGTTTTAGTTTCGTCATAAACCAAACCCATTAACCAAGATCAAAACCATTTTAGGGAATAATGAAGTTTTAACTTTTTTGAAGTTTAGAAATAACGTGCATTTCAGGGAGAATCTATTAAATATTTTTGACTGTCAAGAATGAACCGATCTATGCGAAAACTCTTGAGGTGTCAGTCAATTAACCAGAAACATTCAATCCCAACGAAAACGCTATGGCGCACCGCCATTTTGGTAGAGGGCAAGATGTCGATAGCTTTTGGAGTCACTAAACATTCAATTCACAACGAAATAACTTCATAAGAGACGAATTAACGAGATTGACATGGAAAAATAACAAATATATGAAATCTTCTGTAACACGACATTTGTCCTGTTTGTGCTTTGCTTTGATCTTTCAAACCCCACAAGGCCTTGCGATGATGGGCACCCTATTACAAAATATTATCTACTATTTCTTTATTAAATATCGTTCTTCTTACGCATATTCTATACAGATTATTAGTAACGGAGTAAAATAATCATAATCATAACAATGTCAGGTGACGTAGTCATAAGTTCACATATAAAT